TAAAAACAATAATATCGAACGCGATAAAATTTGCTTTGTGAATGTAAAAAAATGAGCTTTTTGAATGTATAATATATCACTGTACGTATTACACGTTTACGTATATTAAGAAAAAACGAGCATATTTTATGCTTAAAGCAGGAAGAATAGTAATTGGAATAAGAGGTTAATTTAGAGTTGCTTTAATTATGGTGACACAACAGTTCTCGTGTGATTCCACAATACGATAACCATCTTACTACGTTTTCTTACTATTTACGTATTAATAGTTATAGACATCGTGATTTGTTTAGGCAATCACAGAAAAACTCGCATACTATAACACATTTCATTATTTTTTACAAGTAATATTAGTGTCGCTACAAGGCCAGTATAGACTCTTGAAACATAAGATCTTGTATTAATGTAAACTTAAATAAAGCATAGGAAATTTATGAAGCTTTCGGTTTTATTTTATTATTAATTATTGGTCTTATTAAAGACAGTCACAACAGACAAGATACATTATATACAAACAAATACAACATTACCCGATACTATCCTTTCTGTAATGTAAAAATCTTTGATTATGAAAATGAAAAGAAAATGCATGAAATTATGATTTTTGGAGATGAAAAAATGTGTTAACACGGGTAGTCAAAGTAACTGAAAACTGTAGCATCACCCATGCACACAAAAACCACATTAGGATTATGAAATCCTATCTTTCTTCCTACTAAAATCTCTAATATGTTAAAAAAATCATCTGTCAGAAACCGCGTAGAAGTCGCGATTTGTAAGCAGGTATCCTCGAATTTTCGTTGTTTATTTGGACACAGTGCGAGGTATGTCAAGTCTAAGATCATAAACTCTATTTTTCCGAATTATACGCAGTAAATCTAATCATGCGTACGATATTCGCTCCCCAGCACCGTGTTTGCTTCCATTACGCTTTGGACGCGCTACTCAAGAAAAACAGAAGTTTTTCAATAATCAATCACATTGACATACGATCCTTCAGCAGTTCATTCCTTGTGCTCAGGATCAGGTTTGGTCTTCGGCTCCATCGAAGACTGTCGTGACTGGTGCGGATTAGTCTGATTTCTGGGAACTAACAAAACGTTCCCATCTGCAGACTGTTGAAGACTATATTCGTATGGATGATACTGATTACCATCCGGATCCCGTAAAGACTAAAATATAAATTATTAGATATTATAGCTTCATTTTTATTGCCTTTAACATTTTGAAGATGGCAAATTAACAAAATAATAGTTAAAAATAACAAAAATAAATTATCTATTATTTAAATGATATTAATTGCAAAAGAAACGAGACTATTAATAATACTGACCTGAAAAACATGACGGTAAAGTTGACTAAATTTGTCTTTCACCCGCTGCCTCTCGATGAGCATAAACTCGCGTTCGCGAACGAGCCTTATCTTACGATCCCGCATCTCTTTCACTTCGTCAGCTAGATTCATGATTTGATCCAATTTGCGTTTGCGGCAATTCTGTGCAGCAACCTTGTTTTTTCCTCGTCTTCTAATATCGCGTATTAAAGATAGTTGTGCTTCACTGAGGTCATATTTACTGAGACGTTCGTTAAATTCATCCATAGGAAGGTTGATGATATCACTGACTGCAATCGGTACATTCAATGCTCTTGCTCTCTTTTCATCTCTCGTTAGATGTTCCTCCCCTTCACTTTTGCGAACTGAAATTTACGTTTTATATAGATATTTAATATTGATAATCTCAAGAAAAAAATATCAGTCTAATCAAAAATATTGAAAAGATAGTTACCTTTTTTGTCACGAGAAATAGGACGTTGTAATGATCCTGAGCTTTCAGCAGGTAAATGATAAGTGTGATTATGATGGACATGTTCTATTACAGATCGTCCTAAAAATAAAAATAAATCAGATTTTTTTATTTACACGATATTATTTGTATAAAGCCTCTAGTGTATTAAATAAGTCTGTATATGAATTTTTTCTTACCGGATTGATGACGGCTGAAATCCACGCTACAACTATATTTAATTTCTGGCTGCGGTCCTGTCGCACCCTCGATTGGTCCAGAATATGTGTTTCCCGGTGCACCTGCACCGACTGTATGCGTGTCGTAATCATATTTCATCGGAGTGGTTGGATGTGCGGTAGCCCCTAAAGGTGAGCCTAGTTTGAAAGTTATTTAACGATTAAAAATCTCTCTTATCTTTCATAGTGACTGCAATTATAAGGTTACTTAATACTAACAAGTGCCTTGTTCCTGGAAATATCGTTTGGCGAACATTTGATGTTTCTTCTGTGCGACTGGTGGTACCGCTCGTTCGGTTTGGCATCTTGGCGAGCCGGCATTTCTCGCGGACACTGAGTAGCTGCAGTCGTATGGCATGCGATATTTGCTACATTGCAATCAGAAGATCATTGATAAACATTGCAAAGTATATTACACATTAAATCTTTCTCATTTACAATCGTAAAATCTTGAAAATTTTATTCCGCTTGGAGAAATAGACTATTATACTTTAATTGAACTTTAATTGATATTTATTCACACTGATACATATTACGTTATATGTATTATTATATCAGTTATTATTCACAATTAAGATCAAAGAAGAAATTGTCGTCTTCTTATTTCTAATCTTTGTTATGAATGACGCATTTATGATATTATTTACCTCGCGTAATCCATAGTGTAATGGGAGTCGGCTTGAGTATGGCTGGAATTGGATCCAGTTTCCATCCATTCGCCGTCCGACAGAGATGGTACGCGTTCGCTACCCATACTACTAACAGCACTATCGCTTGAAGCATCCATCCTTTCGTCGGCTACACCAGGTAAAGTCGTAACACCCGTAGCCGTCGAAGTTGTGCCGCCAGTCGTCTGGACACCCGATAAAGCCGTTGCACCGGTGGGTCCGGATGCATTGTTGCTACCATTGTCCAACATACGCATGGTATACATGCCTGGAATAGAAAATAATACAAATATAATAAATTAGAGATTTTTATTCTATTCATTATTTTGTACACAATAATTGAAAGCATATTTTAACAATTTCACATGTTTATATCATGTTGTTTATTCCACATTAGCTACGATTAACATGATACTTTCGAGGTACAGTGCAAGAATATTTAAGTACTTTTATTTGATATAATCATTTCTTATCTTTGTAAATATAGCTTTGTGTCTACAATCCTAAAAGCATGCGTACCGAAGTAGGCCATCGTCTATATTTTGCGTGAAAATTCTTCGGAGAACGTAACGTTCACTCACAAACATCGTGTTTACGCCAAGTTTAACGTGTCTACAAAAAGCATTTTACAGATGAACGAATGCAATTTCTGATACATCGGTATTCGGGCCTTTCAATAGCAAACACTTCTTCGCAAACATGACATTTGCTACAACCGGTTTTTGCACGGACTACTATTTACATACGCAAGTTTTACGACTACCAGTACAATATCTGTGGAATATTCTTCGTTAATGTAAAAAGAAAAAAAAATTATTACTTATATAGATTGTCTCATTATTAACCAAAGAAATATCATTTTAATGTGACTCATGCGTTTTATAATGTATATATATAACAGAATTTTAATTTACTTTATGTCAAATTTAATTAATCAAATTTAATTACTTTTATATATAAAAATACGAATTTATTATTAGAATACATATATTTAAAAAAAAATTTCACATAACATATGAGAGGGTTTGATGACTCAAAATAATAAAAAAATATTGGATATATCATTCGTCAAACATGTAAACATGCTATTAATATCAATCGGATTTAAAGTCCATAGTGATTGTGTGAAATAAAATTGACAAGAAAAAGACGTATGTAAACATATAAGAAAGATACATTGGCATATAAATCCTGTTATCAGCAGATTATCATTGTTGCAAACAATGTTGTTCTAGTTATAAGAAATAAAATTGCTGCAAGCTCTTTACTGACCTATGAACGATTATTTTGAAATAGATGATTGATTTTTGTTTCATTATATAAATAAATAAAATCCTATCATTTTTATAAGTAAATATCGATAGATATATACATAATAAAATTCAACAGTTTTATTTATAATTATTTATTTTGTCAGATTATTTTCGCAAATTGTCAATAAAGTCAATTAAAGATAGGTCATCTTTCGATGAGTAGAAATTCTTAATTTTTGAATCTTTTATATATTAAATATTTTTAATATTTTTAATATTTTTAATATTTTAATAAAATATCTTCATTTGTGCCCAATTCTATTATTAAACTACCATCGTACCTCATAAAAATTGTTTTTACTTAAAATAAATATAAAATATAATTATGAATAATCATTCTAAACTTTTTTAAATTCACAATCAGTTTAGTTTGATACTATCTGCAAAACTATAATCATAACACACACACACACACAATTATGAATTAATTATTTTATTTAAGTCATCATCATTTAACATTAAAGAAAAACTTGTTTATATCATATAAATTTGCATTTAATCGCTATTTATTTATAATAATAGTGCCATGATTTTTATACGGCTTGCATAACAAAAGATGAAATTATCCGAGAAATTCTTCATTTTCATAATAGTACACGTGCGTCTTAAAATGACACAGAATACGCGTCTAGATACAATGCAGCTGATACAATGTTCTCGGAAGCAGTCAGCGTGACCAAGTAACACCGAACTGTACGTGACTAGTTCCAGGTTTAAATCTTTATTATCAACTAGTTGCGAGAAAGAAAATGCGCCACATTCTTTTTAACTTGCTCTTCTGCATATTGCGTGGTTAATATTTATTCTTTATTTAGTTCATGAAAATATTTATGTAAATACAAATAAAAATATATAGATGCTCGCAATTTCACGATATCTTAATCACAAGATGTATTATGAAACATAATTTATTTTTGGTTTATGATAATATAATTTAATTAAATATATGATTCTAATCAATCCAGTAAAACTTTCAAGCATAAATTTGTAGCAAAATGCTATCTGCCATTGATTACTAAATATTACATATGAGATAAATCGTTCTTATCATGCTTTCAAACGATAGATGTTAGCGAGAGATATTACTCTCATTTCCGTCTTTTGTAAATAAGATGATAAGAGCGAGCTTCCTAGAATTACATTCGCAATATTGTAGATTTTATCGAACTTTATAATTTCCTTCCTTCTTCTATTTTGCCTTTTCAATTTAATTTGGCACATATTCAAATTTCTTATAAATGATATTAGTTATTGCGTGTACATTTGCATTTTTTTATATAATATTTTTATATAATATTTTTATATAAATTAGTAGTTAACAGTCTTTATAGTACTATACATTATTTAAATATTTTATATTATTTGAGAATTTATCAAAAGATGCTCTTTAAAATAATTCTATCCATAAAAAATCTTATATTTTATTTTATTATTTATACATTTTTCACAAATTCGTTATATTACTTCTAAAATTATAAAAAATATCTCATATTATTCTTAATCAATTTGTAAGTCAAATATACGTATATATGTATCAGGTACCAAATTATCATGACTCAGCATGACACAGACAATACGTTGTCACATCGTCAAGCGTTACTTTTCAAGGATCAGCCTACATTTAATTCGATGTTATATTACGTAACACTTGTTTTTATTCATCTAAACTCATTAGACGCTCATTTAATCCTCATTCTAATTTTATTATTCTCAAGATGATTTTATTAGCGGTGCGTGTAAGTTAATCGAGTTGTCATATAGGTCGGCGTATCACACCGATGACGTAGATCGTATGATCAGTTAATGTAAATACATATGTATATCATGTGCTATCTTTTTCATAAAGCACGGATTGAGAGAACCTATTCATATTTTTCTGATTTCCTGGTCGTGGAAGTCAGGGTCGATAAACATGCAACGCGATCGCGGCATGAAAATTCGAGTGACGTTGCAATTTTCGTTTTATTTCTACTGGCCGGATATTGAGTGAACGTTTACGCCGCGGGATAGATAAGCGGTAGGAAAATACGTGAAATACTTTTCGAAAATCGCATTGTCGACGATATCGTTTCTTTTTTTTTTTTTCAAGTCCTCTTATCGGAAATATTATACTAACATTATAAGAAAAATGTTCCGTCAAACTAACAGAAGAGTTCAACTAGAATATTGTTCATCATTTTGTTGCTTTAATTAATATTTTTCTCAGATATTTGGTATTTTAATATCATTCTGGCAATTGTAAAAGACGTAATATTAAAAAAAATAATTCCAGTGTACGCTTGAGTTTTCGAATGAAATGGAATAACAAGAATACGCAAGAATTAAATGCACCGTGAAGCGAAATTACCTACTTGGAATATATACGATAACTCCCATCGTCGCCATTCAAGCTCATCGAAGAGCTTGATGGTTTTGCGAAGAGTCTCGACTTAATCCTCTTCGGTCTTACAGCGTTGAAATAATTGCGTTGCTTCTATTCGTTTTAACATTGGTGGAGCATTCATGAAAAAGAGTAAAAGTCGCTTACAAACTGCTTCTCGCAAAGTCTATAAATTCAGGATCTTCGTGACTTGACGAAGTCCGTGAAGACACATGGACGAGATCGAGCTCTGCTCTTAGAGTTTACGGCAAAATGTTTAGCACCTCCGCCAGATGTTCCTTTCTCTCTTTCACAATAGTCACCGAGGGTCCCTCTCGGCTTTACCTCTCGCGCTAGCGCATATTAATTACGGCCAGCTAATGAAAGCTAACATGCTCGCCGCGTCTCGGCTAACAAAATCAACACTTCTAAGATCCTCTCGCAACGTAACGTGACCGTACACTTTTTCACCAGGAACTACTATCGTATACGCGATATCGTTTATGGGATAAAGCGGCCGAGAATGGAAGATATTCTTCTGTCTCGTAGAAAAAAACATTCAACAGTACCGTTATGTGTGTGTTTTCTTTAAACAGTGAAAAAAACTACGCATTTATCACCTCAGATGCATGTAATCGAGTAGCGTTGCGACAATACGAGCGCCGAATCTGCGACTGATAATACCACTATCGAAATGTTACGTTTTCGCGATAACATATCCGAACTCCCGCGAACTGCGTCAGATCGCAGAAAGCATCTGTTGATAGAACGCTATCGCTCTCAATATTTTCACAAACGATTGGACGAATGGTAAATCCGAAGAACAGCGAATACAAGCTGGTATTAGATCGTGATAAATAGTCAACACTCTGTGTCCACTTCACCAAGTTTCTCTGTTCCTCGCGCGTTCTCCGCACCGGATGTCTTATTATATTCGTGATTAACGCACGTACGTGCGTATGTCACGTAACACGGCGTGGAAAATGCACGCGGCAAGCACCGTTGTTCATACGAGGAGTTGTTAAGTTATTCGTCGTGCAGATAAGAATCGAAGCCACCGCGGCAACTTGTTCAATGTGGCGATTGGTTCCGGAGGAACGGACACGCGCGCGACGATGACGACGACGACGACGACGTCGACGACGATGACGACGTTCTCAGCCTGGTATTCACGCTGGTCGCGTAAACATAACTAGGTACTCGCGGCGCGGATCCGCGAGTCTGACCCTGCACGGGGCGTAACCACTCGTTCGGAGAGGCTGGCGACTAATGTCACTTTTCACTGCGGCATTGGACGGCGCCCGGCCACGCGGTGGGAGCACCGTTGCTGACTGCGCACTATAATTATAGTATACGTATAGTATAATTTCGCCGCGCCAAGTACTACGGGTCGCGACTGTTTCATGAATCATTAGCACGTTCGATATTGTAACTGTTATTAGGCGCGCGCGCTTAGTACGACGAAAGATCGGTTCAGCGATCATCGATCCGCACGTAGTAATCCCTGATTATCGATTTCCTCAGAATCTACACGCAAAAAAATGATGACTGAAGTATTTAAAAATTTAGTTAAGTATAGATCTGAAAATAATTTTC